ACATTAATATATATTTTATAACCTCAATTTAAATTCTTTAAATAATATCAAACAATTAATATTATTAAATAATACATTAATATAAATATAAAAACCTAACAACAATAATATTAAATAATACACAATTGTGTCTTCTAACCTAAGGTTTCATGCTAAAAATAATTATTAACAATATTTAAATAACTTGGAAAAGCTGTAAAAAAATAACTTCATAAAATACTAACCTTAAATGTTGAGAGAGAAACACAATGAGAGAGAAAAAAAAATGAGAAAGAGATAGAGTGAGAGGGAGAGAGGAGTTGAGGGAAAAGTAGCCGTTGCACCAAGTTCGCTCCGTTATTCATAGTTCGCCTACCTGGCCAGCGAACTTTGCTGCATGTCTACCACGTGGCTTGGCAGGTGGGAACGCGCAGGGGCATTGATGTAGCGAACTTGGTGTCCACTAGGAACGTGACACATCAGCAAACATAGTTCGCTACAATGCCCAGCGAACTTGCCCGCATGGCATTTAGGTAAAAAAGAAGGGGAACAGTTGCATTTTGGTCACTATTCCTTGCTTACCATTGACAACCAAGCATGAATTTCGATTACATTGTAAAAGAATTAATATTTTGAAAGAATTTATCACAAAAATGGATAACATTTCTAATCATCCGATAATTCTGTGAATATCAGATTAGAAACTTTTATTGAACCTTTCCATTAGAAACTACGGCCATTTGGCAAACAATATAGTAAAGTACAAAGTGAAAAAAAGAATCAAATGACATTGTAAGTTTACACCAATCACACAAGATAATTGGTTGCGAAATAATGAATAGCAGAAAGGAGAAAAAAAACTGGTAGCAGTAAAAAGAAATTTAAAGAGGTAAAACCAATATCGAAAGATGTAGCTAATGTTGCATGCTCCTATTGTGTGAACGCCTCCACCTAGGAGAGCACAAATCTGCTCCCATTTCTAATCCAAGCTGAAAAAGTATCTCAAATAAGATATGTATTCACTGAAGCTCCTTTATTTTTTGTCTAACCCAAAATCAGAAAGATGATTACGATTATAACCACCTTTTAAAACTACCATGGCTGGTAACTCAATCAAGCATTGGGCTTGAGTATCTTCACGGTCTCCCATGTAAAATCAGGATCGTCTCGTCCGAAATGTCCATAAGCAGCAGTCTTCTGGTACCTGAAGTTGCCTCCTCTCATGAGGTCAAGATTGATGGCAATCATCCCAGGCCTGAAGTCAAAACTCTCCTTGATCAAAGCTAAAATGTCCTTGTCCGGAATCTTTCCCGTTTTGTAGGTATCCACAAACACGGACAGTGGCTCTGGCACTCCAATTGCATAAGAAACCTGCACAATACAACGACGGGCAAGCCCTGAAGCTACCACACTTTTTGCTGCCTGCCTAACAATGTATGCACCACTCCTATCAACCTTGGTTGGGTCCTTGCCTGAGAAGGCACCTCCACCATGAGCACCCCACCCGCCATAGGTATCAATAATGATCTTCCTTCCAGTGAGTCCAGCATCTCCATGGGGTCCACCAATCACAAACCGACCTGAAGGGTTGAGGTGGAAGATAGTCTTGTCATCAAGGTATTCAGCAGGGATGACAGGTTTTATTACATGCTCTTTCAAATCTGCGGCAATCTGATCATTCATGACAGTTTCATCATGTTGAGTTGAGATGAGGACCGTGTGCACACGGATAGGGACCATGGCACCATTATCATTCTTGTACTCAACAGTCACTTGGGTTTTTCCATCAGGCCTCAGCCACGGGCATGTATTATTTTTTCTGACTTCAGTGAGCTTGGCACCAAGTTTAGTGGCAAGCACATGAGTGAGTGGCATTAGTTCAGGTGTTTCGTCTGTAGCATAACCAAACATGTGACCTTGGTCACCAGCTCCAATATCCTCAGGCTTTTTGGTCATATGACCATGAACTCCTTGGGCAATATCAGGGCTCTGTTGCTCAATATTGACAAGAACGTTGCATTTGTCAGCATCAAGACCAACATCAGCTGACGTGAACCCAATTCCTCTGCAAGTGTCTCGAACTATTTTCTCATAGTTCACATTCGCCTTGGTTGTGATCTCACCAAAGACCATAACCATGTTAGTTTTTGTGCAGGTCTCACAGGCAACCTTGCTCTCTGGGTCTTGCTCCAAGCAAGCATCGAGGATGGCATCTGAAACCTGGTCACAGATCTTGTCAGGGTGGCCTTCGTTTACAGATTCTGAGGTGAAGAGGAAAGTATCCATCTCTGCTGTTCAAAACAAGAAAAAGGTGGGGACCACACTCCCCGAGCATATATATGTTAATTGACTTAAATAGAAGCAATGAACTTGAAACTTTAAGGCAGTACCTATTGCATACATATCCATTAAAGTTCCTATAATGTCCTGCAGGCAGACGGCACTAAGGAAGGAAATAATGCACATTTTAAAATATATACTGTCATGAGACCCCCAAAAAAAAAAAAATCACTTACTATTAATTTCCCTCTCAGTTGCTTGCTTTTAATCAATTGTTCAAGTATTTAAGAGAGTTTCTCAATAACCTATATTATAAGTAAAAATAACTGTATTTGACTGAATTTATGTTTATTGAAATAAAAAAAATGTTTTCTTTGAATCTTCTATCTCTCTTATTAAATTAATACCAAAAATAAAATCAGGGGGGAAAAAAATCACTATTAATCTAAAATGAGATAAAATGGAACCCAAAACAAATAAGACTTTTAAAAAGGAACATAAGCAGTATATAGTCATTGGATTTCATGTGAATTTTGTAGAGAATTGTTGATGAAACTTAGCAGAGATCTAGATGTGTATCTCATAGCACATTAAGGCGTGAGTTTTCGTTCGCTAATTTTTTTGTTCATGAGTTTGGGAAAGTCACATGAACAAAAAGAGATTAAATCTCATTATATCTTTCCAATCACTCTCCAAAAGAATCGGCAATGTCTCTCATTGCTTTGATTTCCAAACATGACCTACAGTCACATTTCGCAAACAGCACACGAAGCGAACAAAGACGGTAAAAAAGCTATAGATCTGCGATTGTTTTGCATTGCCAAAAAAGAAACAAGTTACAAACGAAATAACTAGAACCAGAAAAACGTATCAGATTATCAGAGAACCACACAAAACCTAAATTCGGAAATTAAAATGCCAAAAACAGAATACGAATCATGAGAAGCAGGCATTGGGGATTCCGATCGAAGATCTGATAACTACAATGGCATTGAATTTTGAATTAGGAGACAAAATTCGCGAGAGATACGTACACGTACCGTGTATAGTAGTGTAGTTGCTCTGAGACTATGAACAAGATTGCGAAACGTGAGGAAATGAAAGAAGAAGGGATAAAATCGATAGTGTTATGTACATATATTGTGTTACTGGAAGAGAGAGAGAGAGAGAGAGAGAGAGAGAGTATAGACGGAAGACTCGCTCTATTTATTTTTCCTTCGTGTGTTGTTTAGTACTTTCATTTATGACTCATATTTCACACAATTTTTCCTTTTTAAGCTATTTTGTGCAACCCTTGTTTTCATTTGCATCCTATTAATTTTCTCGACCCAACAATTTTTTCCTATCCTAATTTGGCGCGTAGCTTTAACCTCTAGGATTAGGCTTTGGAGTCTCTTCAAAAATAGAAACAAAACTCTAAAAAAAATGCTCCAAAATGTTTTAGGATAGATTTACATATAAAAAAAAAATATATTACATGAAATTTGATTTATAAATTTTTCATCTATCAAATTTTAGAAAAATATCAAACAATCTCTTAATAATAGCATCATAATGAGTTAACAGGTGTTACCTGAGCACTGCCGCAACTATATGTCACTATCACCATGATTGTCTTCTCTAGAATTTGTACTTTAATATTTCCTTCCCTAACTGTTATTTACTTATCTCTGTGCACAATCACTACTTTAAAATTGTGATACTTTATTCTATCTATCTTTTTTTCTTGTACACCTTACTTATATACAAATCTAATACATATGTCCTATGTGAATTTACATACACACATTAGAGAGGCAAGCAAAGATCAAAGAGGAAAATTAATTGTCTAGACATGAACTTCGACAATCAAGATTCCCATCACACCTAAGTTTTAATAAGGAGAAATATATTTCTCGAATAAAATTATCTCCTATATCTTAAAATAACACCATTTTGGGTTTAAGATTAAAAATAAAGAATAACTTGAAAATTCTACTTTCCTCTTATATAATACATTTTATCAAAATATTCTTTATTTTTAATTTTAAATCCCAAAATAATATCATTTTGATGTTACAAAAAAATGTTAATCAAAGAAATGTTAATCCGCCAACATAGGTGGGCACAATGTCTAATCTCACTTCAACTTTTAATTTCCAAAAAAAGAAATGTTTATCCCTTTTTGTAAAAAAAAAAAAGTGAGTATCATGTTACATGACACCATAAAAAAAATTATTTTTATCAAATTATTTTGATTAATTACATTTAAATATTCCATTTTCAGAAAATTGTCCTTTGTGAGGACCAGCGAAAGCACTGGCCCTCAAAACTGCAACTGCTGTCGTTACAAGATTTACCGCAATTATGGCTTGCTTGGGCCAGGGCCAGGGATGCTGTAGACCACGTCACTACTTAGCTACGGCATTGCTAACAAAAAGTTTGAAGATCTTTCTGAAGAACCATTATTTGAATTGCGTTTAAAATGATTGGGATCAAAATGTTGTAACGGGGGTAATCACCAATGCGAGTGGAACACTTTCTGTCAATTGTGATATTTATTCTGTCAGGAGACACGCCTCACAATTTGAATCATATAAAATGCTACAATAGTTTATATCTGGTATCTCTGTTGATGGTGTTTGGGCACTTAATAACTATTTAAGACCTCTTAGTTATTAGTTGCACTTACAATTCAAAAACTGCAATTGGAATCTTTAGACAATAAGTAATTGTACTTTTATGGTACTAAAATACCAAGTTCTCAGTCCCATTTCCATCGTGAGATGTGAAATAGTTTGTAGTATAATTATAGCCAATATTTTTAGACAAAATTATAGAAGAGAACATAACATCCTGGTAATCAAAGTTCTCTGTCGGAGTTTAAGAACCTGTGCAGGAAAGAATGTACACCATAACTCAAATACCTCAACATAACAAGACCCGTTCAATGGAAGTTGTATTTAGTAACTGAGGCCTAATTGAAGACCAAGGGCAGCATGAACAAGAAAAAGAGTCATGATACCACTACCCAAGATACCGTGAACATTCCTTATTCCAGGATTTCCCTGCATTCATTCAAGTAAATAAAAGGGGTGAATAATCATAACAAGTTCACGGGAGACGAGGAGGGGAAAAATTAGTACAAATAAATCAAGAATGTAAAGTTCTTGATAATGTTCTTTACAGCAAGATTGGGACTGAGAAGTTAGTTGCAAATATATACACTCTTAAGACACTTTCTTTTTTTATTCATTGATCAACTCATTTCTAATTCATAAACAAAATAAGGTTTTATTTTTTTTCTTTAAATGTGTGTATATGGGAAATGGGTATGTGCAAGTAACATGATTCAAAAATCAATGGAGCAAAAAGAAAGAAGAGGATATCAATAAAAGCTCGCTGGAAATAACCATTACCTCAAACAGCGTAGGCAATATAGTTTGTATTGTCAACAAAGCAAGGCCAATGATGCCTGTAACAGAATGAGGACTGCAAACAAAAGAACAAAAAGAACGACAGGAAATGAAGTAAAGAGTAGCTACTGGCTAATGCATAAGATTGTTGTTTTTGATATTGAAAATCAATAAACAAGACTTATTATGATAGGGAAGTTAGAATTTAACAAGTAACAATCTTCAAGCCTGAGGATAGTCAATAGATAATATAAACAAATAGGGGTTCATTAATTACCTCTCAAAAATGGGTTTATCCGATGTGAGCAGAGATGTTATTCCACCAGTAGCTCCAAGAGCAAAGAAGAAAAACATACCAGCTAAAAGCTTGGGATGCAAGTCCTTGGCCTTAGCTTTTTCCTCCTGCAAACACACATTCAATAAAAAGCTATAAATACCAAGCTTAAGGAGAAGTTGTAAAATTGGTAAGGGATATCACACTCACACCATACCACGTCATCAGAATAGCGTATGCGAAAACCCAAATAGGTACCATAGCCACCCATAGCAAAGAGCACAACTGCCTGCAAGCCAAGAGACCAATTCATTTGACAAGGCCTCTCTTTCTTAATTTTGTAATATAAATAAAGGAAAAAGTGTGTGTCCTTTTAAATGAGAAATAGACACAAAAAGATATGAGTCACACTGAAAAAAAATAAAGAAAAAAAAATATAAAAGTGTGGGTCTCACACCTCTTTATGTCTATCTCTTTTTCAAAAAAATTTAAGTTTGTATTTTTAAAAGGTCACACACTTCTTTCATAAATAAATTACTGTTTATCGTATCCTAATCATTCATTATTATTATAAGTTATAAACAAAAATAGAATCTTTTTTCTAATTCTTAAATAACATTTACTACTACATACATTGTTGTGTATAATATTAGTATAGTGTTTATATAAATATAAAATATACTATAATATTTAAATATTACAGAATATATAAATGAGGATCTTTTGACTCTCTTGTAAATTTAAAAATCTTACAGGTACAACTTATCTCAGTTGTTGGTTTCTGTGCATTTGATAGTTGTAATTTATTAAATTATATCAATTAATTAATTATTATTTTTAAATAAATTCCAACCTTTAGTCAAATGGACGGTTGTAGTCAGATGGATAAAAATTAACGATTAAAAATAAAAATAAGACTTAATCTTACATTAGAGTAAAAAATCCTACTAAAAAATATAATAAAGATAACTATATATATACATATATATATATAAAATATTATGAAATAAATATACACTATTCTATTAGCAATGTAGAAATATGTACCATGTTGCCAGGGTGACCCCAATGCACAAGCCAGTCAGGGAGATTCAATGACTTGACAAGCTCAACAAAAGGCCCAAACGCAGATGTAACAGCTTCACCTGTTAATACAAATTGATTATTATTTTATTTAGTTAATGATAAGAAAGATGTTTATAGAGAAAGGATTAGAGTTAAGTACCTCCAGGTAGGAGTGTAGCGGCATACAGCAATGGCAATGGAGAGAAAGAGTGTAAGATAGTTTCGCTATTCTCTCTCGATTCTACTACTTCAATGGCTGTGGGCAAGTCCTCCTTCGCTGCAAAACACTTGTGGCCAAGCACGGGTCCTGTTGTTGCGGCCAAAGAGTGGCGGGAATGAAATAGAGATGATGGAGAAGTGATGGACGAGGAAGATGGAAACAGAGGACGGAGATTAACACCAACAGAAGCAATAACCATCGCCATTTTGTAAAGTAAAGTAAAGTAAAGAAACTATGGGGCAAAACAAAAAGCCCTGTTCTTTTATCGTATGGAAAAGCTTGAGATGTAGAGGGTGTGAGTGGAAAGGTGAGGAAAGAGACACGCCTATAAGAAATTGCAAGCTAGACCTTTCCACGTGGTTTCCACATGCTCATTTCTTCCACTTTTTGGGCTTATAGTTCATGGGCTTTGGACTTATAGTTCATGGGCTTTGGACTTAGTAACACAAAAGCAGAAGCTTGTTGTAGCCAAAAAAAAAAATTAAGAAAGAAGAAAAAAGAAGAAGAAGAAAGCAATTGTTGCTTCATATATTAATTATTCCCAAGCCAAATTGCTTCCAGCAATTGCTTTGCTTTTCCTCCATTTACCAAAAAAACCTTGAAAATGGCATAATTTTAAGCAAAGCACTCTAAACCAAACATGTTAGCATCAATTAGATTGGCATTATTTGGTATAATACCAAAAAATGAATCGGATTACTTGTTCTCCATTTATGAAATAAGTTACAAAGTACATATTCACATTTGCAACATCAATCAAAAACCAAGGAAAGGATTCTCGCCAGACCAATCCCATTCATACAACTATGCTGCGGATTATTAACGAAAAGTTTCCGCAATTCTGGCAATTAGCCTATTTTTTATATTTTTGTTTTCAAAAGCACTCCACAAATCTGTCCAAAGACAAGAGGTTCAACGTGCTACTTGCCATGAGGTCCTCCCACTTGTGAGCTTGAGTGATAACAAAAGTCCATATAAATTCAGGTATGCCCCCACAACTTTTTCCAGATAATAATTTTGCTTCGAGTGGCTAGCTTTTTTCGTGCTTACTTGAAAACGCAGTCACGCAGTCATCATATATCACTTGTTAAATTTACAGAGCTCAGCAAAATGAATTTTGTCCTGGTTCTTGTGGGTGGCTTTGAAAACCGCCAAAGAACAACAGAATGAAGAGATGAGGAATAAAAAAAAGAAACTTCTATTTTCTCCTAATTGATTGATACAATGAAAGTTTCAACCTATAACCTCTTCCGAACTACCAAAATCCCCCACTATTAGCCCATCCCGAATGGTTTATTTTCTCCTAATTCTTAACTGATCTTTGCAGAGTCCAGGATGATGTCATGTTTTCAAAATTAATCTGAGAGACCTAAATGTACATGCTGGATAGTATTAAAAGACACTCGATCTAAATTCTGCTCATTCTTCCATGCTTGTGTCCCCTCTTGTCCATTTTGCTGTCAAACGTGATAATTTAGAAATTCCCAAGCAAACCATTGTCTTCATTTTTATGTACCCTACAACAGTCCACAATAATATTAGGGCACTCTACCAATGTCAAACACAACTTCAGTGTCATTCAAAGTTTAAAAATTTATAAGACTGTGCTGTAATCAATTATAAGCGTGGGTAAGCCCCAACAAGATTTAAATCAATGAATAAGAGAAAGTCAAAATATGCATCACCTATCTAATCTTAGGATGTTGCACATCCAGAATCTTCAATTATCGATTGAAACCTATAGTTCGATTCTGTTACTTTCAGTGTATCTCTGGCAACATTTACATTCATGTTTAAGAACAGTCAAGATGGAAACAATCATCTTACCTTTTCATATACATCTAGCAATTATGATCTGAACCAGAATGCATCATCTGTCTACTCTTAGAATGTTGTTACATATGTGGCCCCTTGTTACTGACTCCCTTTGAGGATCTGTTCTCCAGTGGCCATCAACAACAAATTTGATCTACAACAAACAAATACAGTTATTACATCTTTTAAGTATTTATGCTCTACAACTCATAAAGGTAATAGAAACAAATATTTAACAAATAATCCAACCTATTCCAGCTGCTACCATACTAAACAAAATATAAATATAAAGCCCATATAAAGAACAGAAAGAGAACATGAAAACTGGAATAAATACTGATTGAAGGGCAGAACTAATAATTACTGATTCTAATCAGGCTACTTCAAACAGAAATAGAAATGCATGCCATGACCAAGGCCCCTGCTAGATTTTTGTCCGTAAAAAAAAAAAGGCTTCAATAAACTCTTCTGGTAAATGATATATATATTCACAAAGTCAACATTGCAATCACAACAACAATTTCATCTTACACACAATGTGTCTACAAGACATTCTTTCCAGACTATTACAACACAAGAGCTCACATTGCACGGCATTAACACCCTGCTTTAAGTAACAGCTAGATAGAAACAAAAGGAACAGATGTCATGCTTACAAATGTTAAATTTTTATTGTATAGATTAAATCAATATAAACCCACATTACGGTCTACTTCATATTATTATTATAAGCTAAATTGAATTTTGTGCATGAGATGTTCACAGTCCTAGAGATGAGCCTTTGAAACAAGATACTGAAAATGAAAAGAGCCTTTCATTTACTACCTTACATTATGTGATTATCAAAACATGACACAGTCATCCCAAAGGCCTTCTGATACATGTCACTTTTAGTGGCCAAAGAATAAATGTACAAAACTTTTAAAACTACATACAAATGAATAATAAAATCATAAACAGACAAATATAAACAAAAATATAACGAATATAGTAGAGTATTTATTTATAGAAAGACAAAGATCAAGGCCAATGTTACAATTAACATATTTGACTACTGCAGATAAGATAATCCAGGAAAATTAACATAAGCAATGCAAGCTTCTAAAGTAACGTTGTATTCATGGGTATCAAGAAATGTTCTTCCTAAAAGTACTGCAACTATATCTGGAAGTAAATTGAATTAATTAATGTTTACCGAAAAAAAAATTGAATTCATTAATTATATCCAGTTGTGAATATGGCAGATGCCAATGGCATAAACTTTAGTAGAAGATGCACACACCTCATATACACCAGGATAAAGCCACAGCATCGTTGACCAAAACCTGGATCTCCTGGATATATTACAACGAAAAGCAGATATAAATATTTTTATTAAGACAGTTTAACTTCGTCAAATACTAAGCTGATATTACTATTTTGTTATTTTGTGCGGGCATGTAAAATAGTTTTTCAATCTGTATCCTAGACGACCCTGGCTTATTCTGATAACAAATCATTGGAATGATACTTTCAGCCTCAAACCTAACTGCCATATAAACAAAGAACCCCCTATCTTTCCTTTTTTATGATCTACAAACAATATATGGTCAACAGGAAGAACAGAATGACGGAAAATAAATATTTAATTAGCTAAGAGTAACTAGTTGAACATTTTCAATTACATTTGAAGCTTCAGTACAAAAAACAAGTATCTTATCACTAAATATTTAGAACCTTGATCCACCAAGGTCTATAGCACTAGTTGATGGTTGAGGATCCATTTTTATTCGGTGATGCCAACCATTGAAGCTACCTGCCACCTCCACAACATCACCATCACAACAAAACTCAATCTGAACCTGGAAATATAAGCGAACACAGCGCTCAGCAGGTATACATTACACATTTTAATCACAAAAAAAAAGTAGTTTTTTTTTTTTATCATTTTGGATAGAAAGCTATAATTTCACTAATTTATTCCCAAAAACACCATATACAAGACCAATAGAACCAATATCTCTTTCATGTGAAAAAGGGTACTCCTGTCACCATGCAGTTATTGAAGCTAATGACCAAATAGCTGGATTAAAGTTTGAATCCAACTATAGATTTTCATAATATAAAATATGAATTTGCTGGTAAATATAAATCAGTCCAATGACACTTCAGATTCACATCCAATAGCAGGCATATATCCTCAGTCCTAATAATAATTGCCAGAAGCTGCCGAGAACAATGTTCTCTTCTAGTGCATCCTTTATGTGTATAGTGCAAGAAATGTGTATACAATTTCATATAAATTATATTAAATTCAGGGAAAACAAAGACAATTTCATGTATGAAGGGAGTGCCGAAATTTAAACGACCACCACAGCTCCCTCTTGAATACAAAAATTGAAAAATGTTGCTTGAAGTGTTTCTTACTGATGATATTGCGTCTGATACTGGCTTTGACTTTTTTCAGGAGAACTAAAACACAACTCCATAAGGGCAGGGATCCGGTAGTCTTATGGTGAGCTCATTGGATTTGTTTTACAATCATGAGGTTAGGGAATGTTATAATCTATTGTACTATAGTAATCGATTAATTTTTTATTCAATTGCTTTTTAATTTCAAAAACAATATTCCTATCCAAAACTGTTTAACAAAAGCTAACCACTAGGCCAAGAAAATGCAAGATGCTCTGTCTTAGAGCTACCAAGTGTGTCAGTTACTGTTCCGTTAAGCTGTTATTACAGCTGTCAGATAGTTAGATGGTTAGGTAGTCAGATTAACTATAAATTTATCAGAGAACACTGTAGTTCAATTTTAACTAATTCAGTTACATTTTACAGTAACAGTTCTCTCAGAACCCTCTCTGAGCACTCTCTCTCACTTTCTCTTACTTTCTTGTACTTTTTCTCTCACTTGGTTTCTAATATTATGAATACATTATTAGCTCAAAAGCCCACAAGAATGCAGATGTAATACCTCCTTGAGTCCTGAAAGACTTTCTTCAGCAACGTGCAACTCTGCATCTTTATCAGATATAAGTTTTCTGGCTTTGCTGATTTCTGCCTCTGCCTTGGTTTGCAAGACAGACAAAGCAAGCTGAAAGCAATAATAACATGTGACTAAGTGAGTTGTATTGAATAACTCTCATACATTGAAAAGAAGGACAGGAGAAACGCTAAACAAATCACTTGAAATTATATCTTTTATAAATATTTTCCCTTCACTGAGCAGTAGATCTGTAAGATATACGATTTTTTTTTTTTTTTTAATTCATATGCTAATAAGTTCTACAAACAACTCAGCTGCTTCTAGTAAGTTAAGATCTTATTAATATTTTCACAATTACATACCAAAAATATGTAGAATGTTCTCAGATTTGGGACACAAATTTGGCTTGAAGTACACTTAATTTTGAACACATTAAAAAAAAAAAAAAAAACAGCTCAATGCGATAGTATATAGTTTCCCAACTTTAAGACCATACAAAAATCTTTACACCAACTTAAAACAACCATTTGCAATTTCTTATATTAAAGTGTAAAAAATTGAGAGTCTGAGACCCTTTGGAAGACCACCCATCCAATTTCAAGTTTTAATTATAAGAACCTCTCAAGCATGCTGTCATCTGTGATCGTCATCCTTAAAAATGACTTGCAAATATAACATAAATTTCAGGAGGTTTACATGCTGCCATTACATACACATGAATCATGTCAACATAAAAAAAATATTGGTACTTTTTCCCCTCCATTAAAAACAGTAAACTCTTATTTATTAAAAAAAGAAGAAGTAAAAGACATCCAAAAAAAGCAGTTCTTATACAAAGAGAAATTGAAAACTACTGTACAGCATTTTTTTCTCATGAAAGAAAAATAAATTACACTCATCTGTTTTTTCCTAGATATGTTTGATGTCACCTCTCTCACTCACTCATGCCCCCATCTTCAGTTTTTCTTTTTTTTCTTTTTTCCTGGTGAATTGAACAGAGCCCAGAGAAACATTATTTTGATTCTAACCAATTAAGTGGTGGATGCCAGAAAAAAAATTAATATATATGAGAATTGAGAATGGCCTAACTCAACCCTAATAGCTAGTTCAAAAGGAGAGGATTGCCCAAGTCATTATAAGGAGTACTTTGGCCATATACCTAGCCAATGTGAGATCTTAACAAAATATATATATACACACATCATGTAGTTCCAGTTTTCAGAAATTGCTCATCTACCTTTTCCTTCTCAATCTGTTCTTTCAGCCGACAGAGCTCCAACTCCTTCTGATACTATGCACACAATTACAAAATGAAGAGAAGAAGGAATGATTATAAGTTATAACTATTAGGGCAAACCCCAATGCACAACAAGTTATAACTATTCTAAACAAAAATTTAGCAAGATTTATAAATATCTAAACCACAAAAGAAACTTTTAATTACTACCAGCATGAACTTGAGATGGTTTATCTCACTTTGATTTTGCACTTTTGGAGCCTGTATAATGAGAATAAGGGAAAAGCAAACAATTAAGGTCACAAGAAGCTGCAATCAAGATAGAATTTCCGGATATTTACATGTAAAATGACCTCAGCATTAAAATCCTTGTCGAATTTAGTAGTTAGATCCTCATGTGGCATGTGATCATCCCTATATATAATTTGAATACACGCACACACAAGAAAAAAAAAAGAGCTCTGTTAAAATCAATGAACTTCCCACAATCCTAGTTGGCAATTAGAATTCATAAAATACAAAATACTTACCAAAGAGGCTGATCCAATGTTCCAGATGGAACAACTCGCTTGGATGTCAGTGAGTTCCCATTAAGTGTCGTGACATTTTTATCTTTAGGTGGATGAGCGCCTAGTGGCATATCAACAACAGGTTCTGATTCAATATACGATTTGCTTTCCTGAGACTCATCCCCATTCGAAATGCCAGAGACATGATCTAAGAATCAAACAATTAGACTTACGCTTTGTCCAGAGGCAACAAAAGGAAAATGTCCATAAAATCTGTACTGAAGAGAGAAATTATTCTTTAACTTAATTGGTCCGTTAGAAGGGCTTTGACTATAGCACAAGCACTTGTTGTCAAAGGCATAGTTCCAGATATTAATGATGACGATATCTAACTGCATATCAGAATTACCTTCAACTGGATCTAAATCTCCATTCTGAATAAAATTTGCAACTTTTTCCTCCAAAGACAAGTTGGCTGGAGCGTCAAGATTTATACAACTACTGTCAGCAGAATAGACAATTGAATCAACTTTGTTGTCACCAGATAAGTTTTCCCTAATGGAAACTTCAGATGTTGAGGGAACATCTTCAGCAATATTGTTATTGCTGTCATCTAGACCTTCTAATGGACACCAGTCCTTTTGCTCCAAGGACAAATCATTAGATGGTTCGGAATGACTGAACTCTTTATCTCCAGCGTCAAGATCAGAATCATTAAATGAGGTGTTGGAAGGAACTGCCAATGGCAAGGTTATTATCTCTCCAACAATTCTGCCCACTAAACTATCCTCACACTCCGAATTTGATGATTCACCAGAAATTTCTGTAGGCATAATGGAACTCTGGCTATCAAAGTTGGGAGAAAGACCTTCCCTTGAACTACTGCAATCATTCCCCTCTGCCACATTGTTGATCTCTTCAGCATGATCTTTGAGTTCACCCAAACCATCTTCCGCGGACGAATCACCCGACGATCCTACAACGGAACTGCATTCATCTAATCTCAGAGTTGAGTCAATACACAAACCACCAGAACTGTTTCCAGGAAGAGATTCCGTTGCCGCCGCGACATCATCACCGACCAAACTGTCCGACTTCTCATTCTGACCTTTAAATTGTATTACATTAGGTCATCATCAGTCATGATCATGAGTAATACAAGATAAGAGTGAATTCAGAAAGAAGAAATTCACTTGACATGTTAAAAGACCTTCACAATCATTTGCAGAGTGCAGTCTTTCACCTAAACCTTTTTCTGTGTTCGGAGAATCAGTCTCAGCATTTAATGAGCTCGTGAGAAGCTCGTGAATCTGTTTGTGTCCTCTTCGTCTCACAATGTTTGCCAGGTCATTCCTATAAACATAAGGCCATTCGCACTTAAAAACTCTGCGATTCTATTTTAGTTTTCGTTGTTGTTTATCTTAAAATTCAATAGACATTACAAAAGAAAAATTCAAATGAAAATGAAAATTGAAGAAGGAGAAGTAGCGAAAGAAGAAAGGACCATCCGTGGTGCAAAAGCTCCTTGGTGGAGGGAATGTGGTGCTCCGGGAGGCCAACGGAAGCGAGGAATTGGCGGATATCGTTGCAGATCTCGGCGTCGCTTTTGAGCCTTCGACTTTTCCTGAAATCGCGCGGTGACCGAATTGAGGAACAATAGAAATTCAATTTCAAACGCTTGTTTCAATTTAAGAAGAAGAAGAAAAGGCGAGAACGAAAAAGAAGAACCTTATCCTTGTCCTTGTGTTGTTGTTTTTGGTCTGAGAAGCTTGTACGTGGAACTGCCTAAGAGGGAGAGAAGGTTGGAGAAGTTGGTGGTGGTGCGTTAGAGAGAAGTTGCAGTTGCTACAAGCAAGTGTGGTGCAGTTCGGGAAGTTACACACCCACAGTGTGCCCATTTACCACTTAGCTTTCTCTAACTCTATCTCAGCCTCAACTAAGAAGAACGATGACGAGACCTTTTTGTTTTTTAATATTGATTATTAATCTACTACTTTATTCACTATAACTTTCATCATTAGATCGTTGATTTATTGTCATAATATCTTCACCTAAGTAGACACCTATTTTTTTTAATGCTTATTTTATTTATTATTTTTGATATTATTGTATCAAAATTTCAATTAATATTTATTATTTTTTTCTTTTTAAAATTTTAATCTAATGATATTAAAGAATAATATTAAAAAATGATACGTGTTCTGGATGAACATTAATATGGATTTTCTAATTCTGAGTCCCCTTTTCCTAGGGTATTCCCCTCTATATATACTTTTAGTTTGGGTAGTTGCAGTGGACGTGGATGAGGGTGGTTACCTTGGACGTGGATGAGAGGTAGTTACCTTGAACGTGCCATCATGGTAAGACCCACCTCAAGTTCTAATATGTGGGATAACCGACCCATAACCCGGGCACAGTTCTTCCGGCCCATTCCCGAATATACAAACCCGGAACATTAAGCCCCCAAGCTCGGAGTTTAATAGCTTATTTTACTCCGAATTTATTTCCCGGTTTATCTCTTACTATTCCTCTTTATCTTATCCCAATGCACACATTAAATGCTCCTTACACATTCATATTCTAATTGCCACTTGTCACTCTCTGGCTGCTTCGATCTCCGAAACGACTTGACATCTGAAACGACTCATCCTGACACCCATCATTATTTTTCGAAATTCGAATCGTCGATTACCCCCCCCCCCTTTTTATTACTGTTTGCCTTTTCCATTTTATGATTAACTTGTTTCTGTCTTCACCTCTCTTTCATATCTCCTTCGTCTTCTTCTTTCTTCTGTACCTGCAATTTCTTCTGGTTATTTCTTCTTCCTGTTTTTGTTAGCCTCTTCACTTAGACCTTGCTGTGACTTTCTTGCTGTTGGTTTCAAGCCCCCAGTACATTACACAAGTAAGTTCTTTGACTTCCTGTACTACCTTCTTGTTTCTTGTATAACTTGTGAAAATTGTTGCTTATAGTGCTATCTATCATCTTAACTAAACTTGCATATGACTTATTACCTTATTATTTTCCTTCTTCTTCTACACCATACTTTATTTATCTTTGTACTTTTCTCTTCTTTAATATTCTTTTACCGGCTTATTAGGCTCTGGACGGATTAAGGATCTAAATTGTAATCAACATATTCTACATTAATCATTTTAACTTGCAATATATCTTCTAAACTAGATTTTATTGGTACCTTTCCGTCCAGGCCATGCCGAGGAATTGTCCCTACCGTTCGCTTCCCATTTCTCGCTTTACACCACCCTCTACTGTAGAAGGTTTAGAATGGGTTGACGAAGAAGCTCTAGGTCTTCGTTCCACTTATGAAAACCAGCCGAGTACCCTCCATACTGCCTTACAATCAGTACCTCTATTCTATGACTCCATTATCACTTCTTTCCGAGTTTCTGTACCCGGAGAAGAAGAATGCATTTGCTCGTCTTTCGGGCAAGGTGAGAACTCTTTCTTTTTTACCTATAAATGCTTATTTTTCGAGCTCAAGATAAAGTTACCTTTTACCGAGTTCCAAATGGATGTCTTGAATCATCTCGAAGTCGCTCCCTCGCAACTACACCCTAACAGCTGGTGTTTCTTGCATTCTTTCGAGATAATCTGTCGATCTTTTGAATTCACGTACTCTTTTCGAGTCTTTTTTTGTCTCTTTGCCGTGTTCCGAAATGCCGTTGATAAAGGATGTACTCGGCATAGTTAAGTGTCTTTAAAAGCTTGTCCCGGGCTACGTTGGTGTACTATATACGAAGATAATTGGAAAAACTTCAAAGAGGAATACTTCAAAATATGTATTCCCGAGGCCCTTCCTGCTACACCTTCTGCCTCTTCTTCCTCACAATCTGCTCCCCCTTTTGCTTTCTTTCTGAATGAAGATGGAACTCCTCGATTTCCTCTCAGTTGGAACTGTCATCATTATACAACTTCTGCCAAAGCGTTTTTAACTAACTCCAAGAATCTGAGTACCGAGGAAAATGAAACTTATACTTGGTTCAAACAGCTTGCTTCCGAGTTGTGTAAGGAAAATATATCTATCATTCCTCAGTCTATCCTAACTAATAAAGATTCTGCTGCCTGGGTTTGCCAGAAGCTAAGTAAGTACTTAGATAATTTTCATAAGTTCTTCTGTATGTTTCCTATCTAACCCTATATCTATTTTCTGCTATTTTATTGCTTTGCAGACAAGTGCATGGATCCCACCTTTTTTGTCCGCCAAAAACAAAAAGCTGCACAGAAAGATGATTCTATTGTTTCTGGCGACAAGGTCATGCGTCATGACCACTCTTCAGTCTCTGGTGAAAAAAATCGCTCTCCTACTCGGTCCCCTATGTCGGGTACTTCCGGTACAGGTTCTATACCGACTAATACTGTCGAGATAGACATGGAAAATCCATGTGACTCTGGCGAGGTCCGTTGTCCAAAGCGAGTTCGGGTTAGTGAAGCTAATCATGATCCTTCAACTGATAAGTCTCTGACTCCTCTTACTTCTGTCGTTGCTACTCCTTTTTCTGAACCACCTTTTATGAAAAAACTAAAATCGTGCTTTACCCCCGGGCTCCGTGAAAAGTGGGATAAATTCTCCTTGGACCAACTCATTGACAAATTTACTGACATCCGAGATCATTCCCTCCGAGAAGCCCACTATTATGAAATGGCACTCCTAGCTCTAGCTGAACGTCAGCAACTTCTTTCCAAGCTTAAAGAATTACAACTTTTGAAAACCAACTTTCAAGTGGAGCAAACTCGCCTAGTCAAAAAGGCTGAAACCGCCAAGTTGGCTGCTCAAGATTTCCAACTCAAACTTAAAGAATCTGAAGATTTAAGGAAAAAGCTAACTGACGAACTTACTGTTCTTAAACAAGACCATCAGGTGCTTTCTGACAATCACAAAGTTTTGAAGGAGAATGCTGAAGATTCTGACCTCCGAGTAGCCGAACTGGAGCTGGAAGTAGATACTTTCAAGAAGGATATCTCCACTTTACAAAAAGCTATTGATGACATGGATTCAAAGTACGTTGCTTTTGGTCATCAAATCCGGGGTTGGGTCGTAGACCAGGTGAAGTTCTTCAACTCGGACTCCCTTTTACCTTACTTAGACAAAATTGAAACCTTCAACTTCATTTCATCGAAGATGGACGACTATGTACTCATGATGAAAAAGGCTTCGTTGTTGTGCTTGCTGACTGCCCCTCCGACTATATGCACTCCAAATCTGCTTCTGATCATGCTACTTCTCATGATGTTCTAAAAGATACTTGAAGGGTGGAATGCAACTTTATTTTGTATTCAGTTTTATTTCTCTTGTTCTTGTTATGACTCTATTTTTGTATCTTGTCTTATAACTTGTTTTAATATTTGGAACTATTAATGGTCAGAATTTGCTATCAACTTCCTGACTTCTAACAAGAAGACTTCGTTATTCGTACTGATTTCTTCATTTAATCATGCCACCTTATGTGTACTATGAATTTTCAATTGTTTGAAGTTATCAAACGATTAACCAATCTTTCCCAAGAGGCCATTTAAGGCGGCAATAGACTTTATCTTCCCGCTTCCGAGTAGGAATTGAACAGGTGCCCAAGAGGCCATTTAAGGCGGCAAGGGACTCTATCTTCCCGCTTTCGAGTAGGAATTGAACGGGTGCCCAAGAGACCATTTAAGGCGGCAAGGGACTTTATCTTCCCGCTTTCGAGTAGGAATTGAACGGGAGCTCAAGAGGACATTTAAGGCGGCAAGGGACTTTATTTTCGATAAACGCATCAAACTGGCCTTATTGAAATTGAAAAATGATGCATATCATAAATTCAAATCATCCAAATTCAAAAACAAAATAAGTTCAACACATAACAACAAGTTCAACACTTAACAACAAGTTCAACACATAACAACGTACGACCTACTACCTATAAAGCATAATTAAACTGCATCCTAATTAAAATTAATAGCTTGCCCTCTGACTTCTCATTAAATCTTGTATTCTTCAACTGAAATACCTTTTCAATTTGGCAGCATTCCAATATCGTGGAATTTGTTTTCCATCTAAATGCTCTATCTGGTATGCCCCTGTCTTGGTGGTTAGTATTACCCGGTATAGACCTTCCCAATTGGCTGCCATCTTCCCATCGCTTGCATTTTTATTCCACGCATCTGCCTGCCTGAGCACCAAATCTCCGACCTGAAACTCTCTTTTAACCACTGTCTGATTATACATAGTTGTTGCTCGCTGCTTGGATGCCATTTCCACTAAAATGCTGCTTTCTCTCGATCTTCTTCCAGCAACTGCAAATCAATTTTCATCATTTCACTATTCTCTTCTTCTTTTTCTTCAGATATTATCCTTATTCTCCATGATGGCTCTCCGACTTCGACTGGAAGCATTGCATCAAACCCGTAGGTCATCTTAAACGAGGTTTCTTGAATGCTAGACTGCACTGAAGTTCTGTATCCCCACAATACGTTGTCCAACTCTTCTACCCACCTTCCTTTGCAATTTTCTACTCTCCTTTTCAACCCGTTTGTCAAAATCTTATTTGCAGATTCTACCTGCCCGTTTGTTTGTGGGTGTTCCACTGCTGAAAACTTATGTTCCACACCTAAATCTGCCACCATCTGCCTAAAAATTTTATCCATAAACTGAGTTCCATTATCAGTAATGACTATAGCCAGGATACCAAATCAACAAACTATTCTCCCAATGAAGAACTACTGAACCTTCTGAGCAGTAATCGTTGTAAGAGGCTCAGCCTTTATCCACTTTGTAAAATAATCGGCAGTGACTATCAAGTACTTAACACCTCCAGCTGCTTTGTGAAAGGGGCCTAAAAGGTCCATTCCCCATTTAAAAAATGGCCACGGAGATGAAATTGTGAATAACTCCTCTGGAGGAGCTTGGTGTATGCTAGAGAACTTCTGACACTGT